ACTCGCATAAGTGGATCCAGGTAGCACCAGGTAGGGAAGTAGGTGTATACATCTTGCCACATCTTGCCACAACCACCCATGCTGGCTGTCTTCAAATCGATCACAGACCTATCTATCATCGCGTATCATCGCTATACTATCTATCGTGGAACAGGCAAGTGCATGTCAGGATATGCTTGATGATATAACATACTGTAGTATAATTGATGACAATGTAGAAAAGAACTTGGCTGTACCATGCTGAGACCCAGGGTTGGCCATGGTTGACCCTCTCTTCTCAGAATCCCTCTAGACTTGCTAGTTGAGCAGTGAGGTTTTCTCTTTTCCAGTTTACCTCATCCGAATCTATGCAACGGCCATCAAGCTGGGGCTTAATTAGATCACAAATTCATCCCCAGCTTGCCAGGGGTCAACATACCGTTACTTGCTTTCAACAAAAAACATGTATCACTTCTATCGTTTCTCTCCAAAAGAGCTGGGCGGTGAGGTCCAACTCACCGCACTGCTGCTGGCGACTGCACAGCCAGCAGAGTTAGTCAACCCAAACAACTTGATCTTGAAAAGATTTAATCATGGTCGAACCACGAACACCGGCAACTGCCACCTGCTCTCTCTGACACTCGAGGTCTCTCGCACGCTCGGCTCGCACACGCCCAAACGTAAGGCGAGAGGCGTAGCGATCAACGGACAGCTTGGACAAATCTTCGTCTTCACAGCAGCTCCAGTTGCCTGGGTGCTCTGTCGCCGGGCACTGGATCTGCCCGCTCCGTCGCAAAAGCGCTTCGTTCACCCTGGTCCGTGCCGTGTCCACATGACCTTCTCCGATGGTGTTGGGACGAGATAAAGTGTCTGTCAGGACCCGTCTCAGAGTCTCAAAAGCGTGATTTGGATCCATAGGGCTGCTTAACATTGCTGCTTCATAGAGCTTCACTGTGCCTGACCTGTACATGGAACGAACCTCGTCATACCTCGAGACGGAACGAGGGAATCCACCGAAAACGACGAGGTTCCATCACATTCCACTGGAGGTTCCATGCATCAAACACCTTCGCATGGCCCATGGCGTCGCATGGCGTCGCAACCGATTTCGAAGCAAAGCCCAACGACACACAACACGTGCACATGAGCTGCAGGACTAAAATGGTATCTGCCTAATAGCTGACGTGCAGCTGTCGCAAATGGCAGCTAACGCATGCAGTTTTTGGATGTCTTTGGCATGAAAGGGCTTACGCAACACTTACGCCAACGAATTCTTGCACCAAACCACGGCTGAAGCTTACATCTTATTTTCTGTAATTGTGACATGTTTGGGCTTGCTTATGCAACTCCTATCTCCCACATCAAGCTTCGTAACCTTACACGCCAAGGTGGTGCTTGCGTGAACCATTCATATAATACGACAAGCCCACCACTAATCACACAAACAGGGAGGTTTTGAGAGTGGCTGACATCAACACCGGCGACTGCACCCTGCTTGACAATAGTTTGTAAACTCCTTTGGAGGAAAGTCATCAATATAAAGTGTCAATGCTTGTCTGACATTTTCACGTTCTGTGCAAATGGACGTGGCAAAGCATAATAAGAATGAGATGGACTGTGCTCAACAGGAGGTGGCACGGTGACACAGCTGATGAGAGAGAGAGAGAGGGAGAGCTATAGAGAGCTCAGTAGGATTTATTTCTGAAGAAAACGAATTGGCATGATTTGGGGGATCCGTATGTTCAGCTGTCCAGAGATGATCTGCTCAGCACTGGCCAGAGTTTTGCCAAGAAACCATCCGAGAAGTCGCACGAATTCCTCTGTGGCAAAGGAAGGCGAGAAATCGCGACCGGCACCGAAAAGCAATGGGTCCCTGAGTTTTCAAACATTTTCAGACATTGAGCCATATTCATTGGTGATATTTTTTGGACCAATGGAATGGATCCTTGATGATCCTTGTTTGGGGATCAAGGATTGGACACCGTGAAGCTGAAATGACAGACTCCATTTAGTTGAGAGTCGCCATAACAAAATCAGTTGAGTTTCTGAACCCTTCATGCCGGATGAATAAACACATGGTCAGCAAACAATCTATAAAGTGCACTCTTTGATTCTACTGCCGCTGGTGTAAGATACAGTAAGTATACCGCAGTAGCGATTATGGAGCTGGACGGATCGATCGTCTCACCTCGGTCCGTTCCGAAACAAAGCCGTTCGATGAGTCCGATCTCCCAAACTGGAGTCAATCCCGCCCAATCATCCATCCAGAAAGGCATCCATCTCCCTAATCATTGCAACTTGCATTTTTGTTGACTAGTATCACCCCGTGGGGATGGTTGATGGATGGTTTCTGGATCACCAGATCTCCAGACCAACGATTTCGACCAAACACTGCGCGCAGTTTAGGGTCAAGAAGCATATGCAGTCTGCCCATGTTGAAGCCCAGTCCAGTCTCAGGGTGGAAATAGGCATCCACAATCCTCACCGAGTTTCTCCGTGGTGCCCGGTTTCTCCGCTGTTGTCGGCAATGGCTGGGATGAACATCTTCACTTGAGAGGCTGAGAAGTAAAGCACCACTTCGGGCAACAACTTCATTCAGTTGCAATCACGGTTTGGTGCAGGTATCTCCTGAATTCTTGCAGTCAGGCAAAGATTCGAAGATATTCTATTCACCTGCTCTCTGGAGTACCAACGAAACATGTTGGTACTATATATATATAACTATATATTGTATATAAATATATATATATATACGTGATACGTGGCAATCCCTTCTCAACAAACTCACCTAATGTGAGAATTCATGGTCAGCTCCAAAATGCATGACTTGGCCAAGGCCAATTGTGAAACACCATCATTGCAATCTGTATGAGGAACCAAACGAACAACGTTTGCCCTAGGCAGCCCAGGCATCTGTGCAAACCTCACAATTAGCCACGGTCTCCAGACCTACCAGTTGACATCATATATTACAAACCCCAACCAAGGCAGAACACCAAACCTTCAGCCTTGACCCATCAACCCTCATCAACTCACCACCCGGCCACAGGCTGAGAGAAGCAACCCAAACCCCGGACTGGGGTCTGAGAGAAGCATGGGGTCTGGTGTTTCAGGATCTGACTTTGGACGTTCTGAACCTCCAAACCCATCCAACTTCGGAGTTCTCTGAGTTTTCCGCTGTTTGTTCTTTGTTCTCCGGAGATTCGAGGCAAATAGGAAGCGCTTTTGCAAATCGACCCCTCAAAATACCCGAAACCAGTGATTCGCCGGTGGCCGCGATGGTGGCACGCTACAACTTTGGGAACTGGCATCCTCACGGAAGGTCAAACATTGATCGCTGAATCAGGCTGAGCTGGTCTCATCCAAGATTCCGCTCCTGGCTCGCCGACCCCATGTGTAGCAGCGTCTGGCAGGAGGATTCCTGGCGCACCCCCACTTCTCCGACGTGGGCGGCGGAACCGTGGGGTGGTCGACCGAAGGATGGATCCTGAAGAGCAAATCAACACCATGGCTCTTATCACAAATCTACACCGTCACATTAAATATGTTTCTTCTGGAAACCACCATGCAACACATCACCTATACCCAAAACCTGCTATAGAAATCACATGAAATCACTGATAGTGATGGTTTTCTACTATAGAATCCCTATCAGACCTCGGAACTCTGCCTTTTCAGACTGCTGAACCATCTTTTTGCCCGAAGCGACCCGGCCACCAAATGCCCATTCCACACCGCGCCGTGAAGGAGGTACCGAAGCCCATGAACTCTTGGAACGTCACAGAGGGATCCAACACCAGCGTCACCTCCCCTGACAGCGACAGCTTCGCCCGAAGGCAACGAAGGGCTGCGACGGCACGAAGCCGCCAAGGGCTTAAGCATTGACCATGACCATGGAGTGGGTGCTTGGATGGAGAATCGTCAGGGGCTTCAGGGGTGTCGAATAACTCACGGGGATACTTTTTTGGGGGCGGCAGAGTGTAACCGTGGGAAAATGAGAAGTAGAGAGAGAGAGAGAGAACGACCAAAAAGAATCTTATACAGTAGATCGCAATTTACATGATATGACATGATGATTATTAATGAGACTATGTCACGATATGTGACAATAACATATATATATATACACGAGACAAACCTTTAGTTTGAGGGTGTTGCCTTTTCGGATGCACACCCACATGCCAGGGGGTCCATGCAAAGTGGATTGAAGGCCTTTTGATTGGTTTCACACCACTTGGAGATCCCCAGGCTTACACACCATAAGAACTGTAAGCAAATCACAACAAAACAATCCCTCAAAGTCATCAATGTGTATAGAAGGCCTACGAGGCCTACAAGGCCTACAAGTAACATCACTTCGAACATGTCAGGGTCCACGAAGCTACCCCCTTCGGCTGTCTGCAGAATTCTGCAGTCTTTAGGCCTAGGATGGCCTAGGCTGAGAAGACAACATGACAGGCTTGCAGGGGGATCGACACCCTACACACGCTATGTATAAATATATATATATATATATCATAACGTCTGGATATAGATATATCTATATATATATACACGCAAAGGGTGATGGAGACGTGGACGTCCTTCACTCCGGGGTTTCAATGTGAAATGCAAAACCCTTCCTCAGGGGGGTGTCAAGATGTGTCAAGGCATCATTTCATCATCCGGGTGTCTGGCTGGATTCCTTGGAATCTCGATTTGAGGAGTGCGATCTGACCATGAGCAGCTTTGGTTCCCACGAGCTCCGCTGGGGAACCAAAGCTGGGTGCGATCCCAGCGAACAGCCGCTCTGCCCAAGAAGTCCATCTGTCTTGTGCTGCGAAGCTCCATTTGTCACCCAATATACCCGCCATGGGTCACACATCATTCCTCCGGAATGATCCGACCTGCAAGGGATTTGGATCAACCTGCGAGGGAAGGCTGTCATATGGCACAGGCGAAAGGACAAAGCGCTGTCGTTTCAGTTTGTCTTCAAACCTTCGCTTGGGCCCCATCGTCCACTGATTGCCCAATAGCTTCATCAAGATAGTTCTTGCCCTTCCTCCGGTGTGACACCTTCCCCGCTGCTGATGTGCACATGCGACATGCTAACGGTGGGATCTTGGCCTCTTAAAACAGCTTCTTCCTGGGCCCCCACCGCCTTTGGCATGCGGCATGCGTTTGGATGCCCGAAAAGCCACCCCTTCGGGTGGTGAACACAGTGCCTCAAAACGAACCTTTCTCCGAATGAGCAGCACAACATGGAACAGTGGCCCGGGGGGTCTGGCATTTGCTCCACCCTTGGGCTTGCATGACCATCAGGCGCAGTTTGCACGTGCAAACTCAGTATCCAAAAAGACTAAAGACAATGTCAAATCATCGGTTGAACATGTTTGGTCCAACTACATGGGCCGCGGATTCCTGGAATGTGACATTTCTTCAGCCTCAGATACGGAACCAAAGCTTCGCACCCTGCTCCTCCACCATATCCTCGCAAGCTCTCACAAAGTGTGGCTCCCCCTTCACGGCACGGAGAACCCACTCAGGGGCCAAGGTGCGCTCCCTGGGCCGAGCCAAGGCGGGACGCGGGACGCGAGTAGTAAGGCCAGGAGCACCTAGTAGCTCATTGTTACTTAGTAGTAAGGCCAGGAACCCCTAGTAGCTCCTTGTTACTAGTAGTAAGGCCAGGAACCCCGTTCGTAGCTTCTTGTTACTAGTAGCGATGCCAGGAGCCCCGATCGTAGCGTCCTTAAGCAACACAGGGCTCCATGGGTCCTCTTCTTGATTGGGAGCCGGAGCAGTTGTTGGAAGGTGTTGACTGGGAAGGACGGTTTTAGGGACAAATGGATATGTCGTGGATTCCAACAACTCCGATTCAGTTGACATGTTAACATTACATCCACTTCAGCGCTGTCAAAGTCCGATCAAATTGGTGACACTCTTTTTGAGGCGGAGGTCACTTGACACAACAATGAAATGACAGTCCATAACTAAACAGCAATGTAAATACTACATAATTCATAAATGTCAGTCCCTCATGTCAACTGTCAACACAATGCTTTTTTGAGAGAGACGTGCCAAGCAAGATCAAACAAGTATTCTTTCCAGCCGACATTCGGGTTCTACATGGTTCTACATGAGGGCACCCTCCCATCTTCACTACGCCTCCCTCACGGAGAGAAAAACACCGGGGAAGGCAACTGTCTGGAAATACCCGATGAGTGACGCAAAACAAATGAGCAAGAGAACATATAATGCTTTCTTCTTTAAAACAAAAAGAAAGCAAATCCGCTCTTCCTTTAAAAACAGAAAAAAACACATACACCCCTGGAGAAGCCCACGTGAAGAAGACACCTGACACGATGACAAGGGACTCAAAGCGAGCGCTCTTTTTTGTGGTTGGGGACTTCATGATAGGTCAATCTTCCAGTCCCATCCAGCTCATCCGTCTGGGATCGCAGCGTGGGACTATCGATCCCTCTTACCAACCACGCGGCTGGCACTCGGCACTCACAAACCACGCAGACCGCCGGTGCGCCCAAAGTCAAGCCGTGTGCAAATAGCTCTTAAACCACAGGACAGGTCGGTGAGAATGCCCCAAACTGGGTGAGAACGGATGAGAACGCCAGACTCGACTTTGGTTGAGGAGTGATGATGATTGGCTGATGAATCAATATTCACACACATGTGCACACACACACACATGATCCCACCGAGACCTCGACCTAGATGCTTCAATTCAACAGCTCCGTCTGCAGGGGTTTCTATTTTAAGTCAACAGATTGATTCAGGCCCCATCTAACTCTCACGCGGACTCCCCCTGTCCATGTCAGCCTCTGTCTAACGTGTCGAGAGTCGCCAAGTCTGCCGCAGTGCAGCCATGACCTGACCCGGGTCAGCGATGGTTGTTGCACTGTTGAACCGCGGATCAAGGGTTACCTGCGCTGAAATTGGGGTGATCTCAACCCAAAAGGTATCCCCAATCTCGCCAAACACCCGCCATGCGGAAAATCTAATCCATTGGACCGTTGGAGCCACCGTTGGACGCTTCTGCAGTGTTTTGTTTCAAACATAGCAGCATGCTGTCATGTCGTGTACAATTGAGTCACCTCCTTCGAATGCTCACGGACCCAACCAATAAACTCGGCGAAAATAGCAAAAGCACTTCCTTGCTTACTCATTCGAGGTATGTGTCCAGTTTCAGTGACCTATTGCCTGATGGTGTTCTCCGCCAGTTTGTCTCACAAGGTCAAACAGGGGTGCGTGATGCTGGCATCGTTCCTCATTCAGTTCCTTTACTGTATACTGGTGCTGTCCATAAATCATATGCAAATGCATGCTACTTGGAAATTCAGCCGGAGATCTTAAATGCATGGTAATCAAATAGTTGCTGGAACCTCAACCATCGATTTCACTTGCATTTCGGGATATGGCATGAAATCCACCGTCCCTACCGTCCCCTACCGCACGAATTTCCACCAGGTGGCTATTCGTCAGTTCCAAGCGCGCGCCCGCCGCAACTAGCATCGCTGTGGCCACGTAGGACTGGCTGCAAATACTTAGCATCAAAGGCGTTGCTTTCGAGTGGTGGTAGGCATAGGTACCTGCCGAGTTGACATTTGGAGACTGACCGAACGACCGATCGACCGTGTTCGACCCAAAATCGGACTCCCTAACTGACGGAGCGAAGATCCATCGAAGACTCTTACCAAAAGACCCCCCAAGGATCCCCAAACCAGCAAAATGAGATACGGGTGAGATACGGTGATCCCATGTGATCCTGCAATTGTGGGATCTACTCGGGAAGATCTGCAAAGGCTCTCGCGGTTCTTGAGTGAAGGAACATGACAAAATACGGCATGCGGCATGCCCGGTTGCATACACACTTGCAACTGGTCGGTATAAAGATCTTCTCAAATAGCAGCATGATCCAATAAATGTTTGTCTCAGGAGATTTGCTTGTCTGAGTAGATGTTGATTGTTACTCCTTCCTCCAAAAGGGGATTGCACTTTGCCACTGTTTCCTGAGGCGTTTCAATCAGCTGCATGCCTGCTTGAAGGACCGAGACAAAATCAAGCATTCGCAAAGGAATGAAGGATTCACCCATAAGGAAAAGACCAATCCCCCATAAGCGAGATTGAATGGATATGAGATAATTGAGGGAGAGCATAAAAGATATAAAATACTTCCCATTTGGACCCCTGGGAAGAAGGACAACTCACCCTTCAACCCAAGATTTCGACTCTGGAATCTCCACCAGCTGCATTTCGGCCCAGGCAGTATAGACCCAAAAACAGGCTGTGATCAAACCCCTTTGGGCCAGGGGGGTCTCCCTAATCACTACATGCCGCGTTATGCTTCACTTCCTATGACCCACATGACTGGGAACCCTAAGTGAATGAAATTGACCTAACTCGCCTGTATAACCCTTCCTAACTCGCCTGCTTTTTTCTCCCTGCAGAGGACCACATGGACCCCAAAGGCTGGTTGTAGAGGAAAACCCTCTGCCAGGAGTCCACTGTCAGGCAGAGCGCCGTTGGTTTGCTGCGGTGGACAACCACGTCTTCTCTGATACCCCATGGATACCCGTTGGCGCACCATCCTGAACCAGAACCAGAAAGTGCAGCCCAGAAGCTCAACATCGATGACTTCCAATAGTGCCGGAGCTTCAGGAAGCGAAAAAAGAGGCCCAAAGGACTCAGACTGCTGAAGCTAAGCTGATGATCGATATCTGCTTTTGCCTCAGAGAAGGCACATTCTCAGATCCAAATCTGTTTTCACAATCTGTAACCATTCTCAAAGGATGAATCGGCGGATTCTATGATGGAAGTGCAAGTGGAGATATGACAAACACTCCAGGTATGGAATATCATGCCAACATTGACCCCAGGTCAATGACCCAAATTTGTCGACAAATATATGGCAGTCTCATGTCTGGGATACTACTGGCCTCGATCCCAAAAAGCAAAAATCGAGGCCACATGGTTGAGGGCGAACCGGGCGAAGCGGAAAGGAAGCACTTCCCCCATGACAGCACTAGCCTAGCTGGTATCCCTCCCCTGAACACGTCCGGCCCAAAAGTATGCAGGAAAAAAAACACACATCCAAAAATCTAAGACATCCATCTGAGTCTATACTGTATCAAGACTGAGTGTGTTGGTTTACCATCAACACAAATCTGGTATCATGACCAAGACCCAAACCATCTGAGTTTGTAAATACCTGTCTACCCCCCCTGCGTCCTCTCACCCGAATTCCCCGACCGCTTGGACGGCTGCCGACCTCGATGAGGGTGGCGACGGCCTCCGGAGATGGTGCTCCATGGAGGATCGACACATGCAGGGCCAGGTTGAGGTTCAGCTCGCCGCAATCCAGAAGCTCCAGAATGCTTTCGGCCTGAGGCCAGGAAGGCGGCCCTTTCACGCGTTTTTGGCACGGCGGTCCCACCAATCCTCTGAAAGCGAGCGGCCCTTTACGCGGATGGAAGATAAACAAGACAACAAAGCGTGGGTCACGTGATTTATCTTGCTTGACCAAAGCAAAGCAGTGGTCCACAGGTGATCTTACATTAATTGGGAGTCAAAAAGAAAAGGATTGTGGGAACATGTGGGAACCTCCTCCAAAGGCCAGCGGCATAAAGTTTCCAAAGCCTAGGATCGTTTCCCAGTAGGTCTTAGCATTCTGGCCGTGCCCAACACACCAGTTACCAGTTGTCCCTCCATGTAGGTTGGGGTCCAATATCCATGCTGAAGCAGCAACCGAACTCAAAAGTCATGGCCAAACTGAGAGGCTTTTTGAAGCTTCTCCAACAGCTCGTCTGACTTTTGGCAGGCAGAGATTGGACATGATTGGACAGGGTCTTCAGCTCATAAGAGAATGACACAAGTGCTTAACCAATAAACAAACGATCCTTTGAATTGCAAAACACACAATGATTAAAACACAACAATGTCACATAATGTCAGTTTTCACTAAGAATGATGTAAGACTGGAAAAAGATCTTTCTTCACTCATCTAAGCTACATGTCCTCCTGCAGCGGCCATGTCGATGGGCGCCAGTCCCAAGATGTTGGGGCTCATGAGCGTGCGAGCTTGTTGATCCTCACCGTTGGAATCGGGTTTCCTTAGGACCGGAACATAAGGGGTAACCACTCCTGGACAGAAAGTTGCAGGCTTTGGTCAAAAACTAGGTCATAGAGTCATATATATATATATATTGTCTATCTATATACATATATATTAAATATATACCCTGACGGTCAACGCACATGTAAAAAATAGTGGTTGAACAACGACCATTTTTAGCAGACAACCACACTTGGTACAAGGCTTTTTGCATGCCCAGCGAAGGTGCTCAACTGCGATTGGACCAGGTCACGTCCATTGGCTCAGAACTGACATAGATCGATTAAAGATGATCAAAGAAAACATCACATGAGGGTGGCCATGTGTTCAAATTGAGCACTGTCATGGCCAAGAGACGATTTACTTTATTGTCTCCATAAGACCTTTCTTCCAACAAAGACCACGTTTGCCTGGCCATGGAAATCATGGTACGGCATCCTGTCCTGGAAGGTGGGGATTCTATGGTCTATGCAATGGATGTTCTTGCACCAAAAACACCTAGTGCACAAGCTAACTTCCCAACCCCTTCAGGTGGATCGATCATCCATTATGAAGAAGGCCCTAATTCAGAGCCACTTGGCACATGTTTTTTGTTTTGGGGTCGAGTTGGTGTGACCTGATCCCAATTTCCCTTCTTGGCATTTTCTGGCCAAGGAATCAATGATACGCAATTCGATGCGAAAGAAGCAATTCCTCGAGCCAGTGGTTTCCTAGGCGGGCCTGGTTGGGTCAGCTATGCTGCACTAGCTGGGACTAAGCCACGCAGTGTACCAAACTTGTGTTTCAGCCGTTACAGTGTTGGATGTCTGACACAACATTGGCTCACATGGGAGACTTCACTCAACCCACTGACTCGCCCGTGCCCTTTCGATCGCTTCTTGGTGATGGCCACTTCAGCAGAACGCATCGGCCTGCTCAAGGCAAGGCTGAGAGCACTCAAGCATGTAACTAGGAGGTTTCCATGGGGTGTGTCCGGTGTGTGCATGTACCTCGACCTATCGATGTCTATAGCCGACCCTCCCATCACTACTCCAGGAGTTCTATTCGGAGCTTCTGACACCGGAGTATGTCAAAGCTCGGAGGAAGCTGTTGAAACAACGGAAAAGGATTGCAGAGGGGGATAACTCTGCAACTTGACTTGGGTCTAATATGTAGTGCGCTGTTATGTGGACAGTGGACCTGGCAGTTTGTTACACCTGTTGTGGCCAAGGTACCAGATTTTGCGTTCATTTTGAGGTTTTCCAAAAAAACAACCGTGCACGAAAGCGAGGTTGGGACACAGTCAATGTACGATCTTTTTGTTCATGTGTGTGCATCACATGTGAGTTTGAGTTGACCCTAGTCAAAACATCATGGATTCCCGGAGGTTCAGCAGGATGTGAACGCTTCATTTCTGATCAATTTCCTCGCGAGCTTTGCCCACAATGTACCGTCGAACTCTGAAATGCAGGACACTCTGGTTGAGTGAAGATATTCATGCCAAAAATCACACTAGTATCTAAAGTGCAGCACTATCAATGTACTATGATCATAGTAAGATCTGAAAGCTGATTTGTTTTGTTCAGGCGGCGCTCCTTTGGTGTTCTGACACGTTCAATTTGAATCCGGACTTGGACTCCCAAGCGAAGGTGGTTGCAACTTGGCACAGCTGGTGCAAGAATAGTGTGTTCAATTAGTTTTCTAGCTTCTTTGAATGTTTGATTGACTCTTGAAATTCTGAAGGCCTGGGCACAAACAGAATCTGGGGTTCAAAGGGCCTTCGTCGCCTACACTTTGGATAGGTTCCAGCGCAACCCGAATGCTCGGTTTTGTTCTTAACAATTGAAATGCACGCAATGTCTATTGCACATGGAAATTCTGCAGCTTTGGTGTGTTTTGATTGAACAAAATTCCACTAATATAATCAATCCCATGATGGTCCAAGGTCCAAGGACAACAAGATGAGTGAGATCAAGCACATAATCCGTGCCAAGCTGGAGATGGAGGGGAAACTGTCTTCATCTGGCAAGAAGATTGCTTCACGGGGAAGATCATCTTCGAATCAGGACTTCCTTGATTTTTCTTATTCATGATTTGAACGTGCTCATTTTAACCTCACAAACTCCTTTCACTACAATTGGATCCAGGACCTGGGCAAGGAGTCCATGACATCAACAGGCTTTGTTGACACGACAATTGTTTGCAAGACATTATTCCAATTATCCAGCATTTGTTTATTTATGAATGGTTCCTGTAAATTTGATGTGCTAGGTGGTGCTGGAAATCAGGTGGACAACATGCCGACACTGCAGATGGAAGACCCTCCTCAAGCTGTTCCAGAAATGGGTTCTGAAATGCCTGAGGAGGAGGAAGAGGAGGAGGATCCTGTGGTGGAGGTGGAAGAGTTTGGGGCTGCAGATTCAGAGGTGGAACTGCCTCCCGGTGAGTGGGAAGATTCCCAAGCACCTTTTGAGTCTGGCTTGGGCAATTTTGAAGATTCCGAAGCAGTGGTGGGTCAGGCCATGGCTGATGCTGAGATCCCAGATTCCAAAGCAGTGGAAGAGAAGGAAGAGGATGCCGAAG